AAACAAACAAACAAACAAAAAAAAAGAATCAGGGTTAGGCAGACAGAATGATAATTCTGTGGTTAAGTTAAGAGAGAGCACTTGCTGCCCTTTCAGAGAACAGGACTTGGTTCCCAGTGGCCATGAGGGGCAGTTCACAACAGCCTCTAAGTCCTTTCCAGGGGATCTGATGTTCTCTTCTGGCTTCTGCAGTCATCTACACACACACACACACACACACACACACACACACACACACACACACACACTTAAAGAATCGAGTGTTAAAAGCCAGAGTTGCTCCATGGTAGAGCCTCCATGTGTCAGCCCCAGCACCTGACCCTGAGCACCACAGAACAACAGACAAAACAAAGAAGGGTTCGACATAAGTTCCCATCTGTCAAATGTTCAATCCTCTAGTTAGGATTGACTTTGGACATAACTCTTGTTCTTGCTTGAAGAATTGCATGTATGAAGTCTGACATGGCCTCCCTCTTCCCACCAGATCCCTGTGCCTGAGGGAGACACTCTATGCCAACATTAAGGACTGCTGGGGGAAAGAAGAGAGGACGGCCTTGCACAGGAGACTAGAAGAACCCAGATTCTTCTAGAAGGAGTGGAATGGAATCACCACACTGTGCTCCTGGGGGTGGGAACACATGTAGGGGCTCTGGAGGGGAAATGAGAAGTCAGGATTCCTCCAGGGCCCATTCTACTCAGCGGCACCATCTAGATGTTATGCCTAATGTCCTCAGTCTCATCTCCCCGAGATAGCAGCTGAAGGCCCAGTGGTTTCCTATAATTTGTCTTCACAGTCTCAGGCCGTTGAAGGAGGCATTCAGGGCTCAGATGAGGAGGGACCTACCTTCAAAATATAGTATTTGATTTATATAATTGTAATAACTTTCACATGTCACAAGTTTTATTGCATTATCAATATACATAACAAGTTTTGTTATATTATTAATAAATAAACTTCATTGTATTGTTACATGTTCACTACGGAATAATTAGCATATTAGTTTTATAATGGTTCCAGTTTTGGGAACATGCTGCTCCTGTATTTTATCATAGCTCTTATAATGTTTATATATCCATAATTATTTTCATTAAATGGAGAATTTTTACCTTTTAAAATCTATTATATTTATGTGTCTATTTGTCTTATATCTGGGTAGCAGAACCCTAGATCTTTGTGAATATAAGTTTTTATTTATTTTATATTTAGTCTCCATTGTTGAATGTAAACATTTAGCTTTGATAATTTAACTTGCTTGGACATGTTTGTATATTACTTTAAAAAGGCTATGTGTGTGAAAGAGCATCCATGTTACAAGGTCCTTCCTCTGGGGACAGATAATAAAGATTAAGTATGTTTTATGTTCTATGAGTTTATGTTACTATGAACTTTTTGGGTTTTTTTTTGTGTGTGTGTGTTATGCATTTGTGGATGTCTTCATGTTCACCTGTGTGTAATTCTGTGTATATGTGAGTGTATGTGTGGGGGCTGGAGGTCTGAGGTTGATTTCTGATGTTTTCCCTGATGGCTCCCTACCTTATTCATGAAGGCAGTTTCTCCCTTGAACCCAGAGCTCCCCAATATACTGAGTCTCTGCAGCTTGCTCTGAGGACACACACTGGCCCCTTTCTGTTTTCTCTACAGGAGAGCCGCCATGCCCACCTGGCAATTGCATGGTATGGGGATCCGAACTCGGGTCTTCAAGCTTGCTGCTTGCACAGCAAACACTTTATCGGGGGGCCATCTCCCGATCCCTGCTACTGTGATTTCTCAGATGCCGTTCTCTTGTGTACCGTTTGTCTGAAGTGATCATGTGTCATGTCACTGAAATCAATGAAGAAAAAGGAAAAGGCTTGGGATTTCCTATAAGGGTGGAACAACACAGTCATGCTAGCAAATGAGGAAAGATCTTGCATGTACAACTGTGCATATGTGTGCTGTTTGTTTATGTTTATGTAGATGTGTACAGATGCCTATGGGTGCATGTGCACACTTGTGCATGTAGACAGCAGAAGTTGGCATCTGTTCTTTTCCTCCATCTTTGTACACATTATTTTTTTAAAGATCTATTTATCTTTATTTTATGTGTGTGAGTGTTTTGCCTGCATGTAGGTATGGGCACCATGTGTGAGAGTGTCCACAGAAGTCAGAATAATACACTGGATCACCATCACCTGGAGCTGGAGTTAGAGATGGTGTGAGCTGCCATGTGGGTGCTGGGAACCAAGGTCAGGTCCTCTGCAAGAACAGGAAGTGCTCTTAACTGCTGAGCTCTCTTTCCATCTTTTAAAAAAATTTTTATTACAGAAGGTTTTGCATAGAAACTGGAGCTTATTAATTTACCAAATATTCAAACATATGAACCTATGGGGGACATTCTCATTCAAACCACTACAGGCTTCATGGTTACAGTCCTCCATGGTTAAAGATTTCAATAAGGACTTTGATTCAAACCCCAGAACTCATGTAAACATGGGAACATGTTTGTAAACCCAGTGCTGCTATTGTGAGACAAGAGAACTCCCAGAAGCTCACAGGCCTGGAATCATTGGTGCTGAGTAACAAAGTAAGCTGTCTTTAACAAGGCAGGAGGCAAGGATATATACTGGAGGTTACCCTCTGATCTCCACTCATGCCATGGCATGCATGCACCTCACCTTGCACACATTAACCGGCACACACACATACATGCAAACATCATGCACACATCACATGCGCAGATATTTAAAAATCAACTTGAGCTGGGCAGTGGTGGTGCACGCCTTTAATCCCAGCACTCAGGAGGCAGAGTCAGGCAGATCTCTGTAAGTTCAAGGCCAGCCTGGTCTACAGAGCGAGTTCCAGGACAGGCTCCAAAACTACACAAAGAAGCCCTGTCTCGAAAAACAACAACAACAACAACAACAACAACAACAACAACAACAACAAATCGACTTGACTAAATAGTAAGTATTGTCTATACCAAAAAACATTTGCTTTATTTTGACAACGTTTGGGAAAATTTGTATGACCATTGTAATTAACTGTCAATGCCTCAATGAGGGACTGTTTCATTGGGTTGGCCGATGGGAGGCTGTCTTCATTAAATTAATCGCTGTGGGGAGACTCAGCTCATTGTGAGCGGCTGCACTCCCTAGGCAGGGCGTTCTGAACTATATGTGAAAACACAGTGGAGCACAAGGAACGAGCGACTGAGCACGTGTGCGTTAATTCCTTTCTGTTGTTGACTGTGGACGCGATGTGACTGGCCGTTTGACATTCCTATTGCTTTGACTTCCTTGCTATCGGTGACTGGAACTCAGAATTGGGAACTAAAATAGACCCTTTCTCCCGTAAGTTGCTTTTTGCCAGGGTAGTTGATCGGCAACAGAAAACCATGGGAAACTAGGGAAGCCATGTAGTTGGCACCCTGCTTAGGACAGGGAACAAACCTTCCCGAGACTTTCCCCAAGCAAATCAACCCAAACCCATGCTCTAGGAAGCCTCTAATCTACCTTTTCTGACTTTGGATTTGAACATAGTCTTTTCCTATGTTTCCTAAAGTCAGAATTACGTAACACTCTCTTAAGTCTGTACTTTGTGGACCACCTAAGTGCTTTGTTCAAATTCTTTAATTTCAAAATAATTATAGATTGCAAGAAAATTGCCAAGACAGTACGTACAAGTTTCATATGCCATTCACCCAAATCCTTCAATTACGACATCTTACAAAATGACTCAAAATACAACTCTTACCTCTAAGAAATAAGAGATGTGTGTGTGTGTGTGTGTGTGTGTGTGTGTGTGTGTGTGTGTGAGCTTGTGCACACACCCATGTGTAGTATGCAGAGCCCAAGGGTCAATGCCAGGTGTTTGCTGTCGCGTTTTACCTTAGTTTTTGAGGCAGGGTTTCTCTCTGAATCTGAAGCTATGTTGGCTAGCAGTGAGCTCCTGGGATCTGACTGTCTCTGCCCTCAGCATCAGGGTTACGGACACTATGGCCAAGGCTGGGTTATGAGGGGTCAGGGATTTGAACTCAGGTCCTCTTGCTTTCATGGCAAGTGCTGTTATCTATTAACCACCCCACTCCCGCCCCAAATATGAGTCAAATATGAATGACCATGACCCAGAAACATGGATTCATGTTTCTCCAAATAATATATTCCAATATGGACCTGTCATCAGGGTCAAGGACAAAATCACAGTTCCACACTGTCACCCACAACAGCCAGAGAGTACCTTTAATCTTTAGGGAACTTGAATTAGGTAAAGCTGGATCCTTAGCTTTGGTGCAGAAAATACTTTCAGAATGCGTCTCTGTGAAGCAGAGTTAGAGGGTTTTTTGTTTGATTTTTGTTGTTTTAAACAAGAACAACTTTAGGGGCTAGAGAAATGGCTCTGAGGTTAAGAGCACTGGCTGCTCTTGCAGAGGACCACGTGGTGGCTCACAATCATCTGTAACTCCAGTTCTAGGGGATCTGATGCCCTCTTCTGGCCACCACAGATTCCAGGCACACATGTGGTGCACAGGCCTATGTGCAGCCAAAATACTCAGACACATAAAATAAAATAAATAAATCTAAAATAAAAGCAATCAAACAAAAACAACCCCTACAGCTCCCAACAACCTCCTCCCAAATAAAACTCGAATGAGAGGTTGTGGTGACTGAAATAGATGATGCTGGGAATTACCCAGGGCCATTTTCAGGGAGGTCATTCTGCTGATTCACTAAACTATGTGTATATGTGTGTCTTGTGGGGGTACATGTCCATAAGTGCAGGTATCCTTGGAGTCCAAAAGGGGGCATTAGATCCTCTTGACCTGGAGGTACACACAGTTGTGAGCTGTCGTGTCAGTGCTGGGAACTGAATTTAGGTCCTCTGGAAGAGCAGCCGGTGCTCTTAACCACTGTGCCCTCTCTCCAGCCTTCACTTCTCCTTTATGTAGGAGGTAGGGTTGTTTTCCAGGAACTCATGGAATTTTTTTTTTTACTTTTCTTTTAAAAAATATTAAAAACCCACTATGGGTTTTTTGTTTTGTTTTTGCACTCCTAAATTTCCTCCTTCCATTGCTTCTCCTAATGTCTGGGTTCAAGTTACAGTCTCTTGTGGAGACTCTTTTATTTTTCTTCTTTAAAAAAAAATGTGAGCCAGGTGGTAGTGGCGTACACCTTTAATCCCAGAATTTGGGAGGCAGAGGCACGTGGATCTCTGTGAGTTCAAGGCCAGCCTGATCTACAGATTGAGTTCCAGGACAGCCAGGACTGTTTCACAGAGAAACCCTGTCTTGAAAAACAAAATATATATATATATATATATATATATATATATATATATATATATATATATGGTATATGTGTGTGCAAGCGTGTGTGTGCTTGTGTATATGACACTAGCCTGTGTGCCACATTGCATGTATGTACATATGTATGGCATTTGAATGTGTGTGCATGCGTGTGAATGTAACTGTGTACTCCTGTGTGGGTGTGCTTGCAACTGTGCACCAAGGAGGGTGTCAAGTACCTTCCCTTGACACCTGCCTTATTCCCATGGGACAGGTTTCCCCAATGAACCTGCAGTTTGTCTCCTGTCTCCATGCACCACCTCCTCCTGCACCGAGGTCATGGAGTATGCACAACCACACCCACCTTTCTATGGGTTGCTAGAAGTTGAACTCAGGTCTTTGTGCTCCTGTAGCAAGAGCTCTACCCGTGGAGCCATCTACATGCTTATCTACATGAAACACATTCTAATTCAGGGGCTGTGGCTGTGGCTTCATTGTTAGAGTAAACATTTTTCTGGCATACACGAAGCCCTGGGTTCCATGCCCAACGTAGCAGAGACTGAGAGAGATGAGCCATGCCTGCAAGGTCGGTACTCAGGGGTGGAGGCAGAAGGATCAGAAGTCCAAGGTCATTCTTAGTTACATATTCTGCTCGAGGCCAGCTTAGAATATATGAGGCCCCATCTCATAAAAAAAAAGTAGAGAGAATTAAATAAGTAGGTAGCCTCAGAATTCTTTTTTAAGAGTTAAAATTTGGTCAGATAAGCAGAACCCTGTTAAACAACACTGAGCAGCAAACAATTCAGACTGACAGGATTAAAAGGCCCGAGAACAGGAGACGGTTCATCTTCACTGTAGTCCCTTACAGGAGATGCTTCGTGGTTTCTTTAAAACAAAACAAAACAAGCATGATTTGGGAAGGCTTACTACTGGGTAAGGGCACTTGCTGCCAAGCCTGACAACCTGAGTTTGATCCCCAGGACTCACATGGTGGGAGGAGAAAACCAACTCCTGAGATCCCTGAAAATTGTCCTCTGACCTTCACATGAGTGAAGAGGCATATGAATGTGACACACACACACACACACACACACACACACACACACACACACACGAGGAAGAAGTGAAGAAGATAAACTTAAAATAAATAAGGGGCTGGAGAGACGGCTCAGCAGTTAAGAGCACTGGCTGCACCTAGTGGTGGGGGTGCACGCCTTTAATCACAGTGTTGGACCCCAAAATTTAGGATCTCAAGTGGGCGCCCCAAGAACCCAGACTCCAGTTCAGATGATGCAACAGCACGAGGTTTTTATTGAAGCAACTGTACAGACGGGCAAACTCTGTTCCTAAGAGCAAGAGCCTCATCTTACTGCAGCCCTGTAGGGGCTTTTAAAGGAAAAACCCACAAAAGCCATAAGATTACAATTTCCATACAATTTCGTTTCACAAGATCATGGTCTGGTTACAGAGTGATCACAGAGGGGGTACAGTTACGTCCACATGTACATTCTTCCTGAAACCTCAAGGGGGGTATCAGGGTGGGAGTGGAGTTTACACACAGGTCAAAGTGGTCCTTCCTGGAACACCTGCAACTATCCCAGTCACAGTTGAGCACATCTCTTAACAGAAATCTCTTTACATAGTTATATGGTTGCAGGGGAGATTGAACAATGGCTAAGTCAGGTTGCCCTTGGAACTAGATTTTTAGTTTCTCATTTCCTGGTGCTTGAAGTTTCTCTTTTCCTGAGGCTTGGGGGTGTAAGCCTGAAGGGCTAGGGTCTTTCACACAGCATTCGGGAGGCAGAGGCAGGCGGATCTCTGTGAGTTCGAGGCCAGCCTGGTCTACTGAGCGGGATCCAGGACAGGCACCAAAACTACACAGAGAAACCCTGTTTTGAAAAAACTAAAAAAAAAACAAAAAACAAAAAACAACACTGACTGCTCTTCCATGGGACGTGGGTTCAATTCCCATCATCCACCTGGTGGCTCACAACTGTCTGTAACTTTGGTTCCAGGGCATCTAATGTCCTCTCTTGGACTATGTGGGCACTGCATGCATGTGATGCATGTGCATCCATGTAGGCAAAACAGCCATACACATAAAGAAAAAATAAAACATGAATAAATAAACTCAGACTGTATAGAAAGATGAGAGTCTAGGCTATTGACAAAAGAATATTTATTTAAAAATGTGCTCCTTCAAAATACATATCATCTTTAGATCAAAGGAAGTTAAATAAGTATTATTTGTTCACAACTCAGTAATATAGAGTAAATTTCAAACAAGAATTTATATTTACATGAAACAAGTATCTATAAGTAGAATCTAAAAACCCACAAGGCATGGTGGCACACACTTTTAATCCCAGCACTCAGGAGGCAGAAGCAGGTGGGTCTCTCTGAGTTTGAGGTCAGTCTGGTCCATGAAGGAAATTCAAGGCTAGGCAGGGCTACCTAGTGAGGCTCTGTCTCAAAACAAAACAAATAGATTAAAAACCCCGAATCTTCTCTTAGAGAATATTTACACATAGAAAAGTTTTAACATCCATCACAAAACTGCAATAACTGCATACTTTCAATCCACAATATCTCAAAACTATTCGAAATAAATAATTCTATGATAAACATTTATAGACTCCAATAAAAATATGAAATATATTAAAGCTTTCTATTCCAAATATATGGCTCAAATACTATATTTTGAAGGTAGGTCCCTCCTCATCTGAGCCCTGAGTGCCTCCTTCAATGGCCTGAGACTGTGGAGACAAATTATAGGAAACCATTGGGTCTTCAGCTGCTACCTCGGGGAGATGGGACTGAGGACATTAGGCATAACATCTAGATGGTGCCGCTGAGTAGAATGGGCCCTGGAGGAATCCTGATTTCTCATTTCCCCTCCAGAGCCCCTACATGTGTTCCCAACCCCAGGAGCACAGTGTGGTGATTCCATTCCACTCCTTCTAGAAGAATCTGGGTTCTTCTAGTCTCCTGTGCAAGGCCGTCCTCTCTTCTTTCCCCCAGCAGTCCTTAATGTTGGCATAGAGTGTCTCCCTCAGGCACAGGGATCTGGTGGGAAGAGTGAGGCCATGTCAGACTTCATACATGCAATTCTTCAAGCAAGAACAAGAGTTATGTCCAAAGTCAATCCTAACTAGAGGTTAGAACATTTGACAGATGGGAACTTATGTCGAACCCTTCTTTGTTTTGTCTGTTGTTCTGTGGTGCTCAGGGTCAGACCCCGGGGCTCCTCTGTGGTGGGGAAGTGCTCTATCACGGAGCTCATGACCCTTGTTAGTTGTCATTGTTTGGGAGATTTTTTTTTTTTTTTACAGTGTGTACCTGTGTGTGTCTGTGGTAGTGGTGGTGGGGGTAGGAGGAGTTGCCCATGTGGGTGCAATGCCAGGGGAGGCCAGAAGAGGGCATCAGATTCCTGGAGCTCGGGTTACAACCCGTTGTGAGCCATTGGGTCCTCTGCCAGAACAGCAAGTGCTCTTTCCAGATGAGCTGTCTCTGACCCCCCCCGTTGTTGTTTGAGAAGACATGCCTGTGTCAGTCCTGGAACACACTACTGCGATCAGAGGGGCCTTGAACAGTTAGTGGGCCTCTGCATCCCGGGTGCTGAAGTTAAGGCTTTCACAACCAGGCCTGGCTGACCCTTGATTCTTAACCCCTAAACCTGAAGCATCATTTTCAAGTGTGATTTTCAGACTAGTTGACTTAGACCTCCAGAATCACCTAAGCCGCCCCATGTGGGCCCAGCACACCCTGCTTGACAGCAAGGACCAGAGGAGACTGCCTGTGGTGTGGACTAGCTTCTCAGGATATGGCTCTGGACCGATTCACACTTTGCTCCTCTTTGGTCACTTGTTTTAAATTTTAATTGCCATTTATTTGTGGGGGCAGATGTGTACCACAGTGGGACTGTGGCGGTCAGAGGACAATTTGCGGCAGTTGGTTCTTTTCTTCTGCCATGTGGGTCCCGGGGATTAAATTTACATGGCAGCAAGTGCCTTTCCCTGCTGAGCTATCCTGCTGGCCACTGAGTTACTGTGTGTGTGTGTGTGTGTGTGTGTGTGTGTGTGTGTGTGTGTGTGTGTGTATGAGAGAGGGGGGAGGTCCTCAGGTCCTCAGGTGCCATTCACTTTGTTTTTTTAAAATATTTACTCATTTTTAATTTTATGCACATGGGTGTTTTGCCTGCATGTATGTCTTTGCACCATGTGCATGCAGTGCTCTTAGAGACCATAAAAGGGCGTCGGATCCTCTGGAACTGGAGTTATGAATGGTTTTGAGCCACCACGCAGGTGCTGGGAATCAAACCTGGGTCCTCTGGAAAAGCAGCCAGTGCTCTTAACTGCTGAGCCATCTCTCCAGCCCCCAACTGATTTTTGGAGACTGTCTCTTACTGTCCTAGCTCTCATCAATTCATTTGGTTGGGTATCCCGCCAGGCCCAGGGATCTGCCTGACTCCCCCTCCCTGTCCAGCCTGCCCTAGTGTGGGGTTTACAAGCTCGTGCCACAGTGCTGGGCTGTTTTGACATGGTTCTGGGCATCAGGTCCTCATACTTGCAAGGCAAGCACTTGACTGACTCACCTATCTGTCTACTCCTGAGCCTATGAAGGTTAAATACACTCAAGGTTCCAGTCTCTTGCTGTATCCTGTCAACTCTCGGATGAACATCCTGACATAGACAGGGCCACTTGGCCATGCGTCACCCACTATGGTGGTCTGAAACCATGGCACAAATTAAACCTTCTCTTCAGTTCTTTCCATGAAGTTCGACCAGAGTGTCCCCAAAGTAACTAACGAAGGTGATCCTGAAAACTAGAGCACAAACTTGAGTGCAAAAGTGTAATTGTGGCTGGGGCGATGGCTCAGTGGATAACCTTGCTGAACAAGTATGGAGACTGGAGTTTGGCTCCCCAGAACCCACATACAAGCTAGGCAGGCCTGCAGACACCTGCAATCCTGATACATAACAGGCACAAAGATCTCTGGAGAACATGGGCTAACCAGACTAGCTGCCATTGACGAGCTCTGGGTTCACCAACACACTATACCACAACAGATAAAGTGGACAGACATCAAGGAAGACACTCTGCATTAACTGCTGCCCACCCCCACAGATGTGCACCACACACACATACATACACACATACATACATACATACATACACACACACACCACATATATCACACTCAGAAAACAGGAAAAGCAGATGTAAATTATGGAGGTGTGGAATTGTAGAGCTGCCGAATGTGAAGGGGGAACAGAAATTCATATTTCCTCAAACACATCTGGACCTAGTTGCTTAAAGTAGAAGGCTTTCTACTCAATTCAAGTCCTTGTGACAGAAAGGTCACTTCTAAGGTCAGCTGGCTGGCCTCCAGGTGCATAGCCTGTCTCCCCAAGGTTGCGCCTCCTGGTTGTCATTGCTGTGTATGCAGTGATGAGGAGGGTCTGGCTGTGTGTGTGGCTGGGATTTCTCACAGTATGGAGGTTAAGTGTGGGATGCCAGTGTGTCATGTGTGTGTTCTGTACCTTTCCTAACCAGACCACAGACACACTTTAAAAGACACCAAGGACATACCTAACTCAGGCAATGGTCTTAGGCCTCCATGGCTCTAGGGTTCTAAGTAAGGTTGGTGCGATCGCGTGCCCACACCCACAGCTCTGGGTTGTAAGCTTGGATCTGGAAAAAAATGACAACAAAACAGTTCCATGAGAAGTTCCAGATGCTGGCTCTCCTGGAAGACTCCATGTCCTCAGATCCACCTTCAGCTCTTCCGTTCCCCAACCCCACTTCTCATGTTCAACTGCATCCCTCTCTCTGTCTGCCCTTCTGTACCCCATGTGCCCCACACCCACCCACCTCTTCACACTCCTCCCGGGACACCCAGATCTTCCAGTCCATGGACCGAATGAGCTGGAACCGCAGTTTGTGGAACATGGGGCGCTGGGCATAGCTCTTCCCATAGAGGAAGTAAAAAATGTCTTGTTTAGGGGCCTGGTTGTCCTCCTCCATGTCATTGGCCAGGTACCTGGGGAAGAAATCAGGGCGTTATATGGTTCTTCATCAGAGAGGACCATTTGAAGGGAGGCTTGGGGGGCATCTTGTCACTGGATGGCATCAGTCCTGCCCACAGTCCACTGTGGACAGAAGTGATCTGAAAGCATCTGTCACATGGAGCTGAAGAAGACAAGCATCTACGGAGCCCAATGCTGTCCTTGCTGTTCATGACATGAGATGACCTCTGGATTCCCTTTCAATCCATTCCCTCTCCCCTAGGCTTGTGTTGTGTGCACACACTGGTGTCAGCTCAGGCTCAGCACCTAAGGGTTTTGTCTGACCCTGGTTTCCTTCCCTTCTCTTCCCCTCCTTTCTGTGGCTGATACAATCAACTTTTCTGAGTTCTCTCTTTCCACTACCTCATGGTATAGACAATGCACTTTGCAGGGTTTGTTGGATGAATCAGTGAACAAATGAATGAATGAATGGACGAATGAATGAATGAGTGAACAAATGAAAGTGATAGTTAAGGCAAAATGTAATACTGATAACTTCTTTGACTGAGTAGTATAACCTAACCACTCCCAACATAAAGAATTAAGGTGTCCCAAGAATGGAGGGTATTTGACAAAGACCTGCCTTCAATGGATGCGCTGTAATAGAACTTGGGAAAGGAAGGGGCAACACCAGAGACTGTAATCCCAAATAGCCTACCACGGTAGGAGTCCATCGCAATACTGCTGGAGGCAAAAGCCGGAAGATCAAGGAAGGCAGCCGAGGGGAGGCATTGCCAATTTTTCATTTGATTTGAATTGTCCTGATATATTGCCCACGTTGTCCCTGAATGCCTGAGCTCAAGAGATCATACCACCTCAGTCTCCTGAGCTGCAGGAGGCTCCTCATCATGCTGATTGGTTTCAGAGTCTGAACAGACTTTAGGGGGGCTAACTGTCTCCAGGCACACAACTGTGAGATACTCCCATAGAAAACACAAGATCAAACGGAGGACAGGGCATTGGGAAGGAGCCAGCCAGGGATGGAGGGAGCATCAGGGTGATGAGGGAGTCAGGTTGGAGAGCACCTGGACAGAGGGCAGAGTTCACACTGGGCACGCCAGTCTCAGGGTGGAGGATGATTCCTGGTGCAGTTCTCTGGAAGCCTGGGAGGGAGTTGCTTGTGTTTTCCATACAAAACAGACCCACTAGACTGAGGACAGGTGGACAAGGTAAACCAGCAGGGAGCATTTTACCCAGGACTAGTGCAGCATCAGGAAGCCTGAGATGGACACCTGTCATGGAATCCAGGAGGAAGATGGGATGGTGTGTGGTGTGTTCAGTACAGGGGAGACAGTAAAGGAAGCGCTGCAGCCCAGTGCTTGGGGATCACTTCAACCCCACCTTCCTCTCCTCTCAGGAGGGATCTGTGTTAGAATGTAGCCACATAGTTTCATGCCCTCTCTTACCACTTATACAGACACTAGCAAGCCACCCTCTGAGAGTCTGTCTTAAATCCCTAGCTTTCAAGTGCCCAGATTTCTCAGTTCTCCAAGTGAGTTTTCAGACTCTCTGCTGGTGGGCACATATCTCTTCCTCCATCTGCCCTGCCTCTCCAGGGCTACACAGAGAAACACTGTCTCAAAAACCAAATCAAAACAGATAGAAAAGGAAGAGGAGGATGAGGATGAGGAGGAGAAACGGAGCAGCAACCATTAAAGATCACCTGCCCCCTTTAAGCCCCAAATCCCAGATCTTTCACTGTTTGCTCTTGATTTGCTGAGTTCTTTCATTTTATTACTTTATCCATGCATGGGTGTTTTCCCTGAATGTATGTCTGTGCACATGTGCATGCTTGGTGTCCAAGAAGGTGAGAAGAGGGTTTCAGAACCCTTGGGACTTGAGTTGTCGCTGGCTTTGCTGGCTGTTTTGCATGCTGTTGCTTTCGTCCAGTTTCTCCTGTGATGGGGGTGGGACTCTTGAGTGCTGGGCCGTGTCTCCAGCTTCTCTTTTATTTTTTGTGTGTGTGTGTGTGTGTGTGTGTGTGTGTGTGTGTGTGTGTGTGTGTAGCATTTATCCCTTTGGTTTTGTTGGTGGTTGTTTGTGCGTTTTTGCTTGTGTGTGTGTCCGTTGTTTCCTTTAGGCGTTTCTCTTCGTGGGCCCTCTATCTTGTGTTTTTGTCTAGGGGTCTGCTTTGATCCCCAGTTTTTCTTGTTTTTCTTGGCTGGCTGGTGCTGGGGTTCCAGGGCTTGTGTTGTTTCTTTCCTGTGGGTTCTGGTTCTGGCCACGTGTTCCTGCTTGTGTGTTTTGTTTTTTGTCCTGTGGGTCTTCTCTCCCGTCCTTGTGAATTTTCTTGGTGGTGTTTGTTTACTGTACTAATTCTCCTGTTCCTTGTTCTGTTTTTTAACTGTTTATTGGCTTTTTTTCTCTCGTGACGGTCCAGAGGTCTGTTTTTTGTGGTTGACAGGTCCGCGGCTCCCTTCTCATGCCCCCACATTCAGGGCAGGGGACAGAGACCAACTGGAGGAGGCAAAATACTCACAGAGCCAGGAAGAAGTGGATTGGCCTAAACTGCCAGGAGAAGAGCCCTGCACGGCTGAAATAAGCTATGACCATAGACAGGAGGTACTGATGGAGAGAGGAGACAGGGGAGGAGAGGTCACACCCTGGAGGGGGAGAAGGCAGGGGCAGGGAAGGGGAGGCTGAGGTGGGTGACATGAGGCTCAGAGAGGAGCCCAGAGTTTTGGGGGCCTGCTGGAGTGGGACAGGGAGGTGAAAGGGACTTCCAGGTGGGCCAGGCCAGAGGGAGCAGGCCCTCGTTGCTCCAGCATGGCTGGCCCTGGGGCAGTCCTGAGGGAGAGCTTAGGACAACAGGGACAGGGAGGTCTTTGCCCGTCGGGAACAAAGGGTCCCAGAGAACTGTGAGAGGAGAAGAGGCAATTCCCAGGGTAAGATGGCGACTGTGGGCTCAGATCCCGAGGACCCCAGTGAGGCATGGGCCTCCTGTCCACTCTGTGAGACACTGCCGGGCCCTGAGGGGAGACACTGGCAGGATATCAAGGGTCAGGACCGTGTGGCTTCAGAGACAACTGTGGAGGGACAGAGGACTGTGGGTCAGGGAGGTCCCTCCCCAGGCAGGAGA